GAGTTCATTTGTTGTAAAATATTATCAAAAATGTCGGCGTATAATCGACGATAGGAGGTCTCTGTGTCGCCGACATTATCAATTCTAATTCTCTTTCTTTCAGGTTCTAAGCCAATGTTTTGAGTCTTATTCCAAAAGTGTTTAAACTGATCTCGTTTTTTATTCATTTTATTTTTAAATCATCAATTTGTTTAATGCAAAAACCAATTATATTTGACTTTGTAAAATGTCGAATAAAATGTCAGTAACAGGGAAAATCTCTGCAAAAATGTTGAGCAAAAATTGGAAATCAAAGTTTTGTTTGAGCCAATGCAAATACCCTTTAGCGGCAGTAACAGTTTTAGCATCCCATGTTTCTTTTTTGTCCCAAATGTCTTAAAAAAAGTGTATCAAAGAATCACGGTATTGAAGCACTAAACATCCATTGTAATTCCATCGCGTCGGAGCAACTTTTGGAAATCTTTTTTGAACGTGAATGTCCAAAGCGCGAGTTCTTTTCGATGACTTTAAAAAGAAGGAAGCCAAACCACTAAGCGTCGAAAAGAAAACTTTGCAATCTTTAATACTATACTATCCATGCTTCGCGATAAAACCAAATTAAGTCTATGTGCTATACAGTGAACGAAAATTGCATGTTTAAACTTCTCTTTCACTTTATCTTGAAGGCCTCCTAAATGGCCAGCCATTAAGGTGCGATTTCGGTGACGCGGCTGGCTGCGGCGGCTAGCAGCTGCGTCTCCAGATGCTGCACTAGTTTTTACAGTTTCAAATTGAACCAATTTGGCTTGCGCAGCGCTACTAAAGCGGCGGCAGCCCGCGCTGCAGCGGTTGCTGTTCAACTGCTCGCGAAGAAGTCGAGCGGCTGAAATCGTAGTGACTAGGGCAAAAAATAGCGCCATTTACGTCAAATGACGATGAAATTTTATTCAACGAAATACAAAAATATCCCGTAATTTATAATTATGAAGACAAAAATTACAAAAATTTTGTTATTAATGAAAATTGTTGGAAAAAGGTCGCTAAATAATTAAAAAAGGAAGGTTAGTATCATATTACCTTTCCTCGCGTCGCCTTCTAAACATTTCATCTACTTTACACCTTTTTCTAGATAACATTTGGTAAAATTTTTCTTCATCTTCCTCTTCTTTTAATAAAATTAATGTTATCAAATCGTTGTAATCCATATTTTTTAATAAACCCCGCAAAAATTTAAAATGATAAAAATGCTACAGTCCGCAGTCAACGGTTGCCTAGAACTCCGTCACCGAAAACATCTTTTCATCGCGGCTACCGCTGCCGCGGCCAGCATCTCTAGTCGCGCAGCTCGAGCAGCACCACCGAAATCGCACCTTGACGGCAGCACCATCGTAGCTCTGGGCAACAAGCTTAGACCCACATTCTAAACTTGAAATAATGTCACAAACAATTTTAAACAATACATCTGCAGTTCGTTTGCTAGTGGCGTCCAAAAATCCTAAGAATCGCTCTTGAGGAATGCCATCCAATACATATCGCACAACAATGGATAATTGACTTAAGTTTGCTACATCTGTGGTTTCATCAAGCGCAATTGATACGAAAGGTGCTTTTTTAATTTTACTTTTAATGTGATCCATCACAACGTCGGCAGTGCATTTAATTAAATCATTTTGGATTTTGTTTGAGGTACCTCGGAAAGTCGTCGAATCAATAAAATTATTTTTGGGGTATCATCGTATTTTGCTAAAAAACTTGGAAGGTCCATGTAATTTCCTCGATTGGCGGATCCACTTGCTTCATTGTGACCCCTAAAACTTAGTTCATGCTCTCCCAGGAAACAAGTTACATCTATTAATCGTTGCAAGGCGTCCTTATTTTTTTTACCCTTTCACTGTGAATTTTGTTGCTTATTTTTAAATGATTGTCCAAACTATGTTTAATGCGACAGGTCTCGAATGTTTTTTTCTTTAATTGTAGCACTTATATGACATTTATATGACTATTTACATGTCGTTTTACACTTTTGTGAAAATTATTCAAGTCTGTAATACTGACTGAGTTCCAATGCGTTATTTCAGCTATATTAAAAAGTAGGCAAGGCCAGCAAAACAATTTCAACATTTTGCAGCCGGTTTACCATTCATACCTTTCATAGTAATCCTACGTGAAAATGCCTGGTAAATTTCTTTGCTGACTTTTCTACTTTCGTCTCTAAATTGATAGGATCCTTTAGTCTACTAATGTCCGTTTTCTCTTCAAAATTTCTACTTAAAAATCTTTTTTTCAATAAAGAGCACACAATACAGACACAATTTACCACATTATTATTGCTCACAGGCACAGTGCATAGGTCCTCTATTTTACAAAAAGAAAAACAACTACGAAAAATAAACCGAAATCTATCTGAATTCTACGATTTTTCTCACATGTCGATTCGCGGTGCGAATTGCAATATGCGTAAGTCAACATAAAAATCGCTGCCTCTTGACCGTATTTTACGTGTATAAACAGACTGACTACTGTCGCGGCAAGCGAAATCAATTGGAAGATGAGCGGGCTTTTTCAAGACGCGCTTCCGCCGACGTACTCGAAGTATATGGTGTGCGTTTACACAATTAATTTTCTCATGAGTGATGCGTGCGTTTATACATTACACCAATGAATTGTTAGTATATTTACGAAGTTTACGTAATGTTTCAGAGAAAATATAGTACCTAATTTAATATTAATTTCTATGCATTGTAAATTAAAAAATATTTATTTTTAAATCTCAAAGTGTAGGGAAGCGGTGCTTCTCCCGCTTCCATGGACCGCACACCCCTGCTAACGAATGATTTTAAAATTGAAATGTGACCATATAATAATAATAATTAGATTCTAAGATATAAAAATATTAATCATAATTACCAAAATAATTATTTACTATTTAGAAATAGACAAAATTTTTAAAATATTCCATCAATAAACTGGCAACCAGAAATGCCAAGTTCATCTCAAAATGATCAACAAATAAATAAAAATGTAGGTTTAGTGCCTCGAAACCAACCTAGTATAAGTAGAGTACATGATTTATTTAAAAACATGAATAAATTCGAAATTATACTCCAAATAAGTTTTTAGCGAGTAGCCTAAAATTTAAATGAGATGAAGGTATTACTTATCCAGGGTACGCCACTGGAAAAGTTAATTTAACTGATTTTTTTGCTGTTAGGTGTATCTTATGGCACCAAAAACATTTGTTCAGTATAATTTTATAAAAAAATCCTAAACTACAAAATTAAAAAATAAATTAAAATGAAAAATATCTACTTTTGAGTGTGAATATCTCGAAAACAAATCACTTTATGAGTTCCCAACAAGAATACATGATTTATTTAAAAAAACATCACAAAATATAAAAGTATAGTCCAAATAGGTTTTTGGACACTGACGTAAAATTTAGAGGGGATAAAGTTGTTGCTTATCCATGCCGTACGTCACTGACCAAATTTATTATTCAATGGTCACTTTGACGGGAAAGAGTATTCATAAAAATTAGCTATGTTAAACATAAAAACAGATATTTACTAAAAAAACAGTTGAATTTAGGTATAGGGGTTGAATTTAGGTATAGGGAAATCTTATATGGAATGAAAGATAATTTAAATGTCTATCAGTTTAAGTTAATAAATATTTTAAAATAAGAATATTATTCAACACCATATGTAAGTCGAATTCAATTAGACAAATGAGCACCCTGTATGATGTAATGGAAAAATTTGCATTTAATTCGATAGTCTAATATCTTGGCTACGCATATCGCAGGTGACTGTTGATGTGTTTTAAATAACTGCGACATACCAGAGATAGGTATAGGAAACAGTACAGAAACTTTACTTTATTATTTCTGGGGAATCAAAAGACACCATCAAATATAGGGCGTTCCCTTTAAAAAAAACAAAACTTTGATATAAATTCCTATTGTATAATCCAAATTCTAGAAAAAAAAGTCAAATTTTAAGTCGTTTTCCCTACAAAGTCGACGCGTATAGGATGCGCCACCCTTTATATATTTCTCTAAATTCAAGAAAATTTTAAGATGGCAACACGGCGTCAAAACTTTCGCTACTTTTGCTCTATCGAACACCTATTACTTAGAACCTGAACTAAAATTCAATATGGACGCAGCGAAATTTTCAATTTTATATGAAATCGTATTTTGTGCAAAGTTTAAAAACTACATCTATTATTATTAAAATTTGGCAAGAATGTTCAAAAAAATATGTAGAATGCTTTAAAGTTTTTTGAACTGCATCTGTGACTATCACTTTTTTATATTTTTTAATAGTATATTTAATAATTAGCAGGACAAATAAAAATGTCTCATTGCAATCATTAAACATTTTACTATAAGCTGCCAAAGTTTCACTAAAACTCATCCAGTGAAAAATAAGTTCTGTAAAAAATCGTAAACCTCTGTTTTTAACACATAAAATACACTGAAATGGCAGCCTTAAATACCTACCTAAGTCTTTATACCTAGTTGGAACAAGCTAATAATACTTATATTTATTAAAAATTGTGTTATAAATAATTCCTCAAATTGTATTTAAATAAGGATTAATTATTTAAAATTATAACATCAATTCTTCAAAATCATCGATGATTCTATACTTATTAAAATAACTATTCTAAAATGGTTAAATCTAAATAAATACATAAATACATTAATTTAAATCAAGTCGTACCACTATCTCCATCTATCGGAGAATAGATAAAATATTAGTCTTTAAATGGGGAGAAATCTTTTTGTGCTAGACGAAAAAAAAACAGCAATAATTTCACAAATGTCAACAAATCGGTTTAAATTACACTACGGAATTGTTGTTTATTTATTATGTCTCAAAACTTTAAAGGAAAATGTTCTTTTTTAAAATATTATACCTATTTCTTTGGATATTTTCAAAGTAGGTATTGCTAGTCTCACATTATCAGATATTCTTTTTCTTTCTGTGGTACATTACATAATTTTCTATTTGTAGCTTCTACCATGCAGAATCAGATTTGTTTTGTACACAAATCCCGAAATATATACTAGTGCTTTACATGAATTTTCAAGGAAAATTGGAAGCAATAACTTTTTGCAAAGTTCACAAAGAAAAGTTAAATTCTACCAGGTAAGTCTACTTAATATTGTTTAATTAGTAAAAATGGGATACATTTGATTCATTTACCTTTTCTGAAGTTCTCGTTCATCCATTTACAAAAAATCTACCATGGGAAATTGTTTGATACTTTAATTTTTTTTTTAAATATTTTGGCTTTATTTTTTCAAACTAATTTTTTTTAACACCTTTTTCTTTAAAATTTCAAGATGTCTACCTCCTTTATTTATTTTCCGTAGCAACCGTCGCTAATCAAAAAAAAAATATATACATATCAGATTACCTTTTCTAGCTGTCACAAAAAAGATGATTTGATGTTACAATTTTCACACATTTTATATAATCAAAAAATGTTAATAACCCAACATTTTAAAGAAAATTTAATATACTATTTCTTTTATGAAAGTAATTATAAGCAAAAAAGTAAAAAAAATAATTTTTTTTGCGTTTTTATTTTTTTTTATATTATTTACATAAAAAGGTTTAAATAAATAATTTGATGTGAAATAATCGTATTATTTACAAAAAAATTTATATTAACTGCATGAATTTTGTTTTGCTCAGAAAGCAATTGTACACAAAATTGTATAAAAATGGATCATTTGCTATTTAATTCTTTTTTCTTATTTTTCCCTAAAAAAAAATTAAATAAATAAGCATATTTAGTAATCATTTGAATGATTTATGCCAAAAAAAAAAACATAAAAGCGATCATTCCTTTCTATATTACATATTCAATAAGGTTTATAATGGATTTTAAAATTGCATGTTTTTTTATTTCAACATTTCTTGCATTAAAACTGGTGAAAATGACAACACCATTTTCATATTTATATTTATTTAAGAATTAAATTTGAAATGGTTACGCTACTGACGATACGTTCGCGCATACGACTGCAACTTCAGGTGGGTTCTCTTTTCTGGTTAAACGGATTCTACCTAACTACCTTTTGACATCATCTGCTCAAGTATAATATTTATCTCTATCCAAAAACCCAAAACAAAATCCATAAAAACTTTCGTTTTAATATTTAATTTAAATTCATAATTATTTTAGTAAAATAAAAGTAAATAACCAAATAAAAATTTAGGTATACCTGAGTTCTTGTTATTAGAAAAAAAACACCTAACCTAATAAAAATGAAAAAAAAAGTTCTAATAATCTTACTATACCTAATACATAAAATATTGATTTATTTGTTCTCGTAGACCTGCTTAAATGGGAAACAGAGCACACTTCATTTAATATTAAATAAAACACCTCAAAATATTTATTTATATAAAATTATAACCTCACTTATTTTATTTCCCAATAATTTCTGAATGATAAGTATTTTAATAAAAGTCAAATAACCAAGTCTGTAAAATGACAGATAGAAAATATCTTATATTCCACTTTTTCTTCGATAAATTAAACTAAATAACTACTAACATTTTCGAAATAAAAATGTATGCATAATAAAAGTAAAAGCGTTTATCAATCTCGAAATATAATTTTCAGTTATAATTTATTAAATACTGTTCAGGAAGGAGGAAGTATTCCATGCTGAGTACAGCAGGTATTAAATTAACCCTACATTTAGCGGTTTTGATAATTACAAAGAAGAAAGGTTACATACCTGGCAAAACTTTTACTGTCTGGATAAAACACACGATATTATTATTCACAATAAAAATATATTTTTTAGTTAATACTTAAAAAAGTTCACGTATGTAGCAGACTGACGCGCACAGTACCCAATTTTAAAACAAAAAATAAAATGACGTTTTCCATTGACACTGACAGTAGGCACTGAGTATATTTCATTTGTGTCCTTGTTTATCGATATGAAAAAGAAAAAAGTGAGAATACACTTAGATTGCACATAGTATATTCCAATGGAAAATACTAAAAGAAATGTCTAATTGACTGAAAGAAGAGATATCTTCGTGACGTATACCAGCTTGCTAGATATAAATTTAAAATAAATAGGCGATGTCTAACATTACGGTTTCGATATAATAGCAGCGTATATTGATGTTATTCTAATAAAATAATCAAATAGGAAGTGTAAATAGGAATAAAATGTACAGGGTACATAATTTGTTGTTTTGTATTTAGTTAATTTGAATTATGATCGGTAGGTATTACATTTAAAATATTAATTAGTTATATTGTAGAAAAATAGGTATATGTATGGGTAAATTAAGATAGGTACATACTGATTGAACTAAATACTTTTTGATTAGATGGACCGTACTTAAAATATTTAATAATTTTATTGAAAAATCAAATATTCTTTAGAAGGAAATACCTATATTTTTTATTTTCTAGGATTCTTCAGATTTCCTGTAGGTAAGAGAACACAAAATTTTAATTTATATTTCATAATATATAGTGGGGTGTAAAAACTCACAAACCATATTGTTACTTTCTCAGAAAATGTCATTCTTGATAAAAGTTTTTAAAAAGTCTAAAATATAATCCAACCTGTGTAAATATTGAAATGTTTGTACCATATACGAGGGAGGTAATAAAAATATAGGTATAACATTAATTTTTTTTAATAATTTCGAATTTTTTTGGTAGGTATATACTTTTTGCAATACATTTCAAAAACAACCTAGGTTTTATGTTTCTGTTTAATTACAAACCTACTTATTTAATATTTAGCAATTTTACGACACCTACTTAGGAAAATTTTAAAAATAGCTAATTTTTGGGCGTTTTAAATTTAATTTATTTTAAAGATATTATTTCTTGAAAGCTTTTACATATTTTGCTGAATATGAATTAGGACGGTGGTGTAGCGGTCTAACGGCGCTTATATTTATTTATAGGCAAGTTTACGAGTCAGAGACTGCTGGGCTTCGAATCCCAGACCAGACCATGTGGATTTTTAATTAAATTGCATGGTTCGGTTTAGGATTTGATGTGTGCCGTATTAATAGAAATTCAATTTCTGTTGATATGACATGCAGTTTATAAAAATCGCCATGCATTACCGTCTCGATGATGGTGGGTGAGGTTTTCCGGGTTTTCCTCACCTGTAAGTCAAATGGCACCATCAATCATCTCTAAGTCGCCCCGGAGCGCCACGGCAAATAATAATAATTGTAACAACCAGTTAATCCTAAAGACCAACGCTCGTCACCAAATGTAACAACCAGTTAGCCTAAAGACCATATGGTCTTTAGCTATTGTTGTTAATATACTATTAAGGGATTAGGGCAGCGTTGTCACCAGCCAAAGCAGTCCTGAAGGAACATCCATTCGCCAGTGGCAAAAGAAAATAATAAAGAAAAATTAATAAAATACAAAAAAAACATCCCTTAATAGCATATGTCGAGCGGTTCTTGGCGACTAGTTTTAGACTCTTTTAGTCCTAAGGGAATAGAAACGCCGAGGCTTCTCAAATGCTCGGAGTATTTTGCTGGTTTGGGAAGGGAGGAGAGATTAATAATAAGTATTAAAACATTAACAAATGTATATTAACAATAAATATAAAACTTGACAAATAGTCTTCAGAAAAAATGAATAAAATTCCATTTAGGGAATAAAGCACTATAACTAATAGTAATAAAGATATGCATAAGATATAATTCGGGGCGAAAATGTAAAATTGGCATTTATATGTAAATCAATTAATCAATTATTATTAAACAAAATTAAGTTAAAATATTTACCCATAAGTCACATCGTACACAAAAAACTTTACACATTACTTTACAATTACAAAACCAGGGTTTCGCCCAAGGGGCGAAAGTTCTGGATCTTAGTTTGAACCCGACTGAGCGTTTTCCCAAGTGATCCTTTCTATATAAACCAAAATTTATGTGACTATTGATTGTATTTAACAATGTCACGTTCAATGTAGATTAATAAATTGAAGGTTTGTTTCATTGTATCTTTTTAATTATTTAATTTAAACATTAAATACTTGTTTAGAATTTTTGGTAAATTCTTTAGATTTTTTCAATTAATAATAATGCCAATTATTACATTAGCCGTCCTTTTCCCCGCACAAGCTCAGCTTTTGGGGTTAAAATTCACTCGTAAGGGGGTGAATTAGGGAGAGTATTATTATTATTATTATTATTATTATTATTATTATTATTATTATTATTATTATTATTATTATGAATCGTACCTGCCACTTCCGGCTCTTCTATTTATTCTGTTACAACTTTATATGGCTTATGGAAGATATATCTCGTTGAGATGGAGTCCATGTTCGCTTGAAGCAGTGGAAGCGAATGTTCTGCAGTAGAGGTGATAGTACCCCTCACTGTGGACATCCCCTCGCAACCAAGCCTCTTATATTCACATCTTCTACACTTATGTTTACTGCTCGCTTTGAGAACATGTTACGTATCCACCTACTATCATCGGAACATTCCTATTGGTTAGTAAGTGTATTTTCTTGAGGAAGGTGATTTTATCAAAAGCACCTTCTATGTCTATGAAAACACCCAAGACGGACTCCTTATTGTCCAAGGACCTCTCTATCCGGCCAGCAACTAAATGAAGGGCTAAATCAGGGGATCTGCCTGGGGTGTGTGCATGTTGTTTTGGGTTTAGTGGTGTTTTTGTAATCACGGCATCCCTTATGTACCTTTTGCATAGTCTTTCCAATGTCTCAATGGAAAACGATGTCAGACTAATTGGTCGGTATGTAATCAGTGTAATCCAGTGTAATCCAGTCTGGATATGAATACCACTTTTACCTCTCTCCATTTTTTGGGGATATAACTCAGAGCTAACGAGGATCTGAATATACCCACCAAGTGCGGTGTGAGTTTTTCCAGACCCCACTGAAGTAGGGCTGGATAGATACCGTCAGGTTCTGGTGATTTAAATGGGGAGAAGCTGGATATTGCCTAATTTTTTCATCGTCTACAATGTGTGTGGCAGTTTGCCAGTCATAGACAGATGGGTTGTATTCTTCCTCTGTCCAGTTGGTCACGTCTGTGATGACCGAGTTAGGGAAGTGTGTTGACAGCAAAAGCTTGATGCTATCTTCAAGGTTGGCAGTACGATCTCCATACATCTCTCTATTTTTGTCTGACGATTTGTTTGTATTCTCTGAGGTGAGATTTGTAAGTATTCCAATCCTCTTTGAGTTTTGTGGTTCTTGCCTTATTAAAGGTTTTCCTAGCCATCTTCCTGAGGTGTTCCAGCTCGTGACACCACCATGCGGTAATCGTCTGATCGTGTTGGACTAGTCTCGGGGGGCAGGATTTCTTATAGGCATTGTTTATTGTGCTTTGGATAGTGTTCGAGTACTCCTCCAAAGCATTGTTATTGTTTGGTGTTTCGGCCTCCATCTCTCTCAGAGTCTCTTGTAGAAAGTAAGCATAGGTTGTGCCCTGTCCGTCTTCCTAGGGTTCCGAGATAGCGTGGAGGTCGGCAACATCAAGTTTATTTTGAATGTTAACCAGTGGTGGTCTGACATCGAAATGTTATCAGACACTTGCCAGTTTAGAATTGATTTATAGATACCAGTTGTGGATAAAGTAATATCTATTAGTGTTTGACTGCGAGAGTTTAAAAATGTTGGTGTAGTACCTTTATTTAAAATACAAAGATTTTTGGTAATTATATAATCATAAAGTGACTTACCTCTAGCGTTGTTATCCTACTGCCCCAGCTGAAGTGATGAGCGTTTGAGTCGCAACCTATTACCAACTTAAACTTCTGTTTCAGGCAGTATGCGACTTCGTTCGGAGATTTTCCTGGTTTGGGGATCATAATGATTTCAGCTACTTTCCACAACCAAGGGACATACCTTAGTTTAAACAGGTATGTAAGATTAATTATGGCTTTCTTCGGAAGTTGTTTTAAGATTTTTCTTCTAATTAAATTAAAGTCAGGAGCTTTCTTAGGATTAATATTTGTTTTTATATCTTCTGCAATTTCCTTTGGAGAGGTTGGTCTGATAATTGAGTCATCTCTCTCTAAAGGAGCCTAGTTCGGAAATTCTTCTCATTCATTTATGTGGAAAGTATTCTGTAAGTGCTCTGCGAATCTAATAACTTTTTGTATATTATTTCTAGCCCAGCTGCCATCTGTATTTCTGATTGGAGCATTCTGCACAGTGGGCCTTTTTAATCGATTTGTGGCTTTCCTTAAAGAATAAATAATCAGAGGATTTATCGTTTGTCAACTCACTAAGGTACTCACAAATAGATTCATTTTTTATTCGTTTTATCTCTCTTTTCAACTGCTGGGTGGCGTTGTTAAGTTTGGTTTTATCTGATGGAGCTCTGGTCTAATGCCATTTCCTACTTAGTTTTTTTTTGCAGAGATTATATCCCTTATTTCTTTAGGATAGTTATTTCCTATTGTTCGCTGTACAATAGGTGGCGTATTATCCCATGCTGCTTGTTGTATGTTGGACACAAGTAGTTCTACTTCTTCACCTAGCTGTGCTTTTGTTCTTAACAATACTGAAAGATTGATTTTATTTTCAAGGTCCAGTTTGAAGCTTTGCCAGTCTGTTCTCCTATTTATTAGTCTAGGAGCACTTTACTTTTGTTTAATGGTGTCACTAAGAGTGAGAAGAATGGGCGAATGATCTGAATTCATGTCCCATGCCTCATCAACTTGGATGTAGTTGGCTAAAATATTTCGTACAACAAAAAAGTCCATTAGGTCGGGTATTTTGTTTCTATCTGTGGGCCAATAAGTTGGTTTGTCAGTTGAATGCGACTCACATTTTAACTGTGTCATTGCGTCTTTTAGGTTTTTATCTTTAGTTGTTGTTAGTCTGGAGTCCCAATGTGTGTGTTTTGCATTAAAGTCGCCTCCAATGATAAATCTAGGTTCTTGACTATTGAGAAATCTAGGTATTATTCTTTTTTAACGGTATGTTTTGGAGGACAATATACAGAAGTGACCATAACATCAGAAGTTTTAGATTTTATTACTAAGGTAGCCTGAAATTCTTCAGTCCTGTATCCCGCTTCTTGATGATGCTTAATTGCTTCTCTAATAATTATTACTGCGCTACCCCCTCTTTCTGCATTTCGAGGATGAATTGTATAATAAACCTTACATCCCTTAAATTTAATAAAGGACTCATTGGTCAAATGAGTCTCTGAAATTAAGCATATTTCTATGCTTTCTATATCTAGGATTGCTTGCAATTCTTGTTGGTGCTACAGCAGTCCATTAGCATTCCATTCCATTATTATTAGGCTATTACTCATTATATTGTCTCTTAGGTATTTTGAAAATAATGAAGTAAAGTATATGGTTATTTTTTATACTCTTGTTTTTGTATATAAATGAAATAATGATAGGTATTGAATCACTCAAATTGTCGATTATACATTAAAGAAAACTTTATTACACATTAGAACAAAAAAACCTAATTTCAAAGTGTGTTATTTTCCATTATTGAACAAAAATTTAAATGATTTATTCACAATTCTTCATAATCTTCATCTGTACTTGCGATTTCTTCATCTTGTATTCGCTGCGAACTATTTTCACAATTTGTTTCTTGTCACTGACCACATGAACTAGTACATTCCAAACCATTCTTTCGGCAACTGCATTTTATAGCACCACAGCAGGTTTTGCAGTTATATCTTACTATGCGTAATATACTTTCAGGTGCTGGTAGCAAATCCATTGTTTTCGGTATATACATATTATCTTATCTGTTTGGTTCAAACTTTCTTGCATTTGTTTCCATATGCAAATTTGTATATTTGTTACTTGAAAGCTGATTCCGTTGGTGTAAAATTCTATGGCTGAACGAAACATTTTGCTTTTTATACGTTATCCATAATATTTCTATATATATATGTGTAATTAGTCTATCATCATTTGATGATGGTGGGTGAGGTTTTCCGGGTTTTCCTCACCTAAGTTAAATGGCACCATCAATCATCTTTAAGTCGCCCCGGAGCGCCACGGCAAATAATAATAATAGCTGTCCCTGTCCCCGCACAAGCTCAGCTTTTGGGGTTAAAATTCACTCGTAAGGGGATGAATTAGGGAGAGTATTATTATTATTATATTATTATCTGGATTTCCACCAAAAATACATACCATTATATTGTTTCCCTTTTCTTTAACCTGACTGAGATTAAGGTTTTAAATGATAGTGCAAATTCACGAAAGTATTGATCTTCAACAACACTTTTGAAAACTGATTGCTTTCCAATAGGGGGAAGTGGGGCAAGTGAGTCATAGGGGGCAAATGCGTCTTTTAAAATAATTCATATAATCGGCAACAACCGGTGCAGTTCACGTACAACAAGTGGATGGTGTCTATGAAAATTTACCGGAAAATTTCTAAAACTAAGGTAAATATATTTTTTTGTATTCTACGTGTTGTTATGTTATTATTGAGGTAAATTTAAAGGCACTATCTACATAATTCAATATAAACATAACATAACCTCATATTCGAGAAATACCGCCTGATTCTTAGAATGTTGCCAAATGTACCTGTTGAGATTGATTTTGTTTTTTACTTTCCTATCTGTATACAGATATACGGAAAGTATAGGAATCATGATTTTTTTCGACCTTGTGTGTGTGTGTGTGTGTGTGTGTGTGTGTGTGTGTGTGTGTGTGTGTGTGTGTGTGTGTGTGTGTGTGTGTGTGTGTGTGTGTGTGTGTGTGTGTGTGTGTGTGTGTGTGTGTGTGTGTGTGTGTGTGTGTGTGTGTGTGTGTGTGTGTGTGTGTGTGTGTGTGTGTGTGTGTGTGTGTGTGTGTGTGTGTGTGTGTGTGTGTGTGTGTGTGTGTGTGTGTGTGTGTGTGTGTGTGTGTGTGTGTGTGTGTGTGTGTGTGTGTGTGTGTGTGTGTGTGTGTGTGTGTGTGTGTGTGTGTGTGTGTGTGTGTGTGTGTGTGTGTGTGTGTGTGTGTGTGTGTGTGTGTGTGTGTGTGTGTGTGTGTGTGTGTGTGTGTGTGTGTGTGTGTGTGTGTGTGTGTGTGTGTGTGTGTGTGTGTGTGTGTGTGTGTGTGTGTGTGTGTGTGTGTGTGTGTGTGTGTGTGTGTGTGTGTGTGTGTGTGTGTGTGTGTGTTGTGTGTGTGTGTGTGTTGTGTGTGTGTTGTGTGTGTGTTGTGTGTGTGTGTGTGTTGTGTGTGTGTGTTGTGTGTGTGTGTTGTGTGTGTGTGTGTGTGTTGTGTGTGTGTGTGTGTGTTGTGTGTGTCGCCTCAAGAACCGATACACAGAAAAACACAAAATTTTAAACTTAAGCTTTGTTTCAGCGCCCAATGAACTGATTAGATTTTGAGCAGAGTCGGAACATCTGGGGGGGGGAGGTACTTTATAGGTGGTCATTTTTATATTTTATGGAATATATCTGTTATTTACTTCTTATATTATTATCTATAATTTTTGTTCTATACAAAATTTTCCTAAAATTTCGAGAAATTTGACAAAATGTAAAAAAATATTTTTTTATAAAAATTGTTCAAATAAAAGTTGTTTGTAATTTAATTTTCTATAATTTTTATCCTATACATAATTTCTCTAAAATGGCTCTAGAATCACCGAATATGACATGGCTCCTATTATAAAAAACGCCCTTATTAAAGCATTTACATCAATAAATATTATGAAGGGTTTTGAAAAACAGGAATGTCAATCAAATCCAGAAAGCGTCAATCCCTGGGCCAATTCCGTAAACTTGGAAGATGTACCTAATCCAGAATTGCCTGAAGATGACATCCAGAATGATCCTAACATACTACCAGTTTAAGAGGCAACAGAACAACCGTCATGCAGTTCTGTTTATATTTTAAATTCAAGCCTAATCTCGAAACCATCTCAAAGGAAAAGCAACTCCAAATCAATTTTAGAACCAAATCAACCGTCATGCAGTTATGTCTCTATCTCAGAATTAAGTCCAATACCAAAACCCTGTCAAGAGAAAAGAAAAATCAAAACAAAATCCAGAACCACAGAAGGATCCAAAATAATCACCAGCTCACCTTACAAAGATCAACTCGAAGAGAAATTGAAAGATAAATTGAAAACAGTAAAAGCTAAATCAGTCAAAAAGAATTTTAACAAAGCAGGGCCAAGTTCGTGTCTTGTAAATGTGAAAGAAAAAGAAACCTTGAGAGAAAAGAAAAAAGGTGCATCGGCAAAAGCATCAGCAGCAATGTCAGAGGAAGAGAAAGCCACAATATGCGTTTACTGTCATGAGACATATGGAGACACTTGTCACGACGAATGAATTATGTGCATAGAATGTGGTGTCTGGGTGCATGAGGAGTGTTCACCCGAACCGGGTGCTGATAACTATGTTTGTGACAACTGCCGATGATAATTAGTATTAAGACTCACTTGCCCCAACTGGGTGATTCACTGGGGCAAGTGAGTCATTTGACAATTTTTTTCCTAAGTCTGACCTTTCATTAAAAATTTAAATTTTCCTCATTTTTCAAGGTTAGATCATGACCTAAAGAATTAAAGTTTATTTTTATTCAATACACGTTGTTTCATTTCTACAAGTATAAAAGTTATTGTTTAACTTTAAGGTGTCTCACTTGCCCCACCCTCCCCTATGGAATATTCTCGAGATGGGGTCACATCCTGTATACGAATGTATAACGAATAGATTGTTCGCGTTCATTTCCGAGCGATTATCTAATGGCATTAATATCATAAATGTTAATCTGTTTGGAAGGTTTTTTTTTATGACTTCTGAAGAATAGCTTGTGGTGTGCTTGATTAAACCAATAAAGCAGCAATACCAATAGTTCAGTGTCTTCTCCTATTTTTGTAGTAATTACTGAGGCCCTTCCTATGGGGCCTCAGTATTGCATTCGTGCAGACGAAAAAATTTTCTGACCCCGTTTTTTAAAACTTGTTTTATGTTTCCGATTATTCTGAGTCCGAAAATAGTCGTCTGTGTGTATGTATGTATGCCGGTACAATAACTCCAGAACGAAAGTTCTGATTGACTTTCGGTTTTGATTTTCTTGAATAATTACTTCTAACTTAGAACCCTATTGATTTTCAGAATTTTCGGTTCATCCTAACTACCTACTTTAATATCAATTTTCTTAAAATCCGCTTATGCATTTCTTATGTGACAATTTTAGGAATTCCAATTATTTCTAACGTCAACATTCCTAACATTCTTTACATTCCATAAATTGCAAACATTCTCTAACGACCTGTCAAACAATAGCTGTTGATAGTAAAGGTGAAATTTCTAAGGCGGGTTGCGACCTTCATATTTGCAACTATAGCCATTTTGGAGGCTATTTTTATTCGAAATTAGTCGCCAAGCCTGCCAATTTATGCAGTTTCTTAAAAATTACTTAAGCGTACTACTATTTCACCACTAGCCACAAAAACACCTTCATTAAATTTACTGACTCTCTGTCGCAACCCCATAGAATAATTAACCGGCCATTTTATTTGGCAAAAAATCAGAATAATGCTTGGCTGTGCCTGTCAAGAATCAAGATGTCAACTGTGATGTGTGAATGGCTCTTAAATGTTAAATAATTTAAAAATGTATGTTTCTTTTGATATTTATTGCAAATAATTTGTAGTGTATCTCAATTAAGGCTTTTCATAAATAAAGGTACAGCAAGACAGATAATATAATGTTCTTATACAAAGCACTTTTTTATTATATAAAAGAGAGGTAGGATATAATGCTGGTTTACATATTCAACCAGCGAATTGTAAATAATAATTACTAATCTCCTAGTCATAAATTTCCTCAATTCATAAAATTTAAAAATGCATCTTCTTACCTTGGGATTTTAATGACGTAATGTGATCAACCCATTTCAAATTTTGATCGATTATGATACCGAGGTATTTTGTTTTTCATTTTAATTATAAAGTTGTCATTTATTTGTATGTTGAAAGAAGGCCGTTGTAAATTACATTGCTCTCTATGGATCTACTTTAACACATAAATAGTTTTGTGGCTATAAGTTGTTATAACCTATCGTCTCAAAACTATTAAAAATTTTAACATAGTAAGTAGTGAAACGAGGGGTAAAATAACACTAAATTAAGGCAAATACTTAAAAAGGGCAGGTTTAAAGAGTATTATCACAAGAAAGTATATCCGTTCTGTTTATTTATCAAGTATTGTTTGAGGTTACTTTTGAATACATTTATTGTTTTTTTTTTTTAATTTTTGTAGGCAGTCTATTACATTTTTACTTTCCTATCTGTATACAGATATAAGGAAAGTATAATAGGAATCATGATTTTTTTCGACCTCGAGTTTTCGATGGATTTTTACGTTTTGAGGTCCCTGAATCCGTTTTGACTATTTTCGCGATGATGTCTGTGTGTGTGTATGCGTGCGTGCGTGCGTGCGTGCGTGCGTGCGTGCGTGCGTGCGTGCGTGCGTGCGTGCGTGCGTGCGTGCGTGCGTGCGTGTGTGTGTGTGTGTGTGTGTGTGTGTGTGTGTGTGTGTGTGTGTGTGTGTGTGTGTCTGTGTGTGTGTGTGTGTGTGTGTGTGTGTGTGTGTGTGTGTGTGTCTGTGTGTGTGTGTGTGTGTGTGTGTGTCTGTGTGTGTGTGTGTCTGTGTGTGTGTGTGTCTGTGTGTGTGTGTCTGTGTGTGTGTGTGTGTATGTGTGTGTTTGTCTGTGTGTGTGTGTGTGTGTGTGTGTCTGTGTGTGTGTGTCTGTGTGTGTGTGTGTCTGTGTGTGTGTGTGTCTGTGTCTCTGTGTGTGTGTGTGTGTCTGTATAACGAATAACTCATGAACCGATACACAGAAAAACACCAAATTTTAAACTTAAACTTTGTTTCAGCGTCCAATGAGCTGATTTTGGGCAGAGTCGGAACATCTAGGGGGGTACTTTATAGGTAGTCATTTTTATATTTTATGAAATATATCTGTTATTTACGTTTGGAGAAGAAAATTCTTCAAAGCTTCTAATATAATTATCTATAATTTTTGGTTTATGCAAAATTTTCCTAAAATGGTCCGTATTCGAGAAATTTGACAAAATGAAAAAAAAATAATTTTTTATTAAAATTGTTCAAATAAAAGTTGTTTGTAATATAATTGTCTATAATTTTTATTCTATACATAATTTCTATAAAATGGACCGTATTCGAGATATTTGAGAAAATGTGTAAATTTCGAATTTTGAAGAAAACTCAAAAACGAATAAAGAAAAAACATTAAATTTTAAACTTAAGGTTTATTTCGGCCTGACATGAAATGATTAGATTTTAGACAAAGTCGGAACATCTGGGGGGGTACTTTAAGGGAGGCCGTTTTTATATTTTATGGAATATACCTGTTATTTATGTTTGGAGAAGAAAATTGTTCAATTAAAAGTTACTTCTAATATTATTATCTATAATTTTTGTTTTATGTTAAATTTTCCTGAAATGGTCCGTATTCGGGAAATTTGACAAAATGTGCAAAATTCTGATTTTTAAGAAAATTGTTAAACTAAAAGTTGTTTGCGATATTGATCTCTATAATTTTTGTTTTTACATGATTTTTTGAAAATGAACCGTAATGGAATAATGGAAAAATTGGAGAAAGAGTGCTAAATTTAAATTTTTTAGTATTTTCGTTTTCAATGAATATCTATAGAAAAATGTTTCGAGGTAGAAGTATGTGGAAAATGTATATATTTAGTTTATCCTCTAAATATTTATAGAGGTGCTGCAATAGGTTGTACAAAATAACCGGAAAAAGCCTATAATAACTAGATAGGAAAGTCATGTGTTGGACACATCAGATTTTTTAAACCTTTAATAAAAATTATATTTTGGGAACTTTTAATGATGGCTTGCCATACATGAAAGTCAGATTGGCTTCTTGTATTTTAGTTGTGATATTTCGAATTATATTGAATTTTTTCTAATAGATCTGATGAGTTGGTACTATGTCATTTTTATTTTATAAATAAATATCACTCATGTACTGAACATAATTCTGAACTGAAAGCCAATTTATTTCTTTTAACATAGTTGCAATACTCATCCTTCTGTCCTTTATTAATAGAATATAAATTGGCGAAATAAGGAGTCCAAATATTTTACATGAGCAGGCTAAAGGGGCCAATTATTATTGGATAAATTGCTCGAACAAGTTTTTAAACCCTAATCAAAAGGCGATATAGAATGATTTTAAAAATCAAGGCTTGTGAAAATCATCACATGGTTGAACCTAAGTAATGCCAATGCTTCACAAACCAAAAAATTCAATGTCCTAATACTACTATCGGCATTCGGTCTTTCGTTCCAAGTTAAATCATTTCTCGTTTTTGTTACGCTACGAGTTTACCCTTGTGGGCCTCAGTCTCGATATGGTGGGAACCACCATTTTAACGTCTCTAGAATTACAGTTGAGTACAAAAGCACTGGAACGAAAAATAAAATATAAATTACAGTCGTAAAACTAAATTATTGTTTAAAATTACAATAAACAAACAACATAACCTCAAAAATACATTTGTGCTTAATATAATAGTAAATGCTTTACCTTGGAGACGTTTATCGGTAATAATAGTTGAATTGACACATATACATATATTGATTTATTAAAGCCACAGTTCTTATTTAAGCACATTTTTTGACTTAACAAAATTAAAATTGTCTTATGGGGATTTATAATGTATTTATGGTGTGTTCCACTGGAATGTTTAGTGCGTTCTGAGTGTATTCTAACTTTCTTCTTTTTTCATATTGATAAAGAAGGACACAAATATATTACCAGTGCCAGTGGAGAACGCCATTAGAGTTTGTTCGGAAATGTTCGTACTTTGCTACACGGTTTATGTGCAATGCACAAAATAGTGTGATTTTAAGCGAATCTGTTGGCCTCTCTTTTTGGGGACAGGTATTTGCTCAATTAACAGTTCACCGACAAAGAAACGACCAGCCAGAGCGCAGCGATGTACCAAAGAAATAGAGATTAACACAGATGAAAATAATAAAATTGAATTTATATTTTTATGTAATTTATCTTATTTTAAAATAATGTGTTTCTATGAAATTTAACTGGGTGTTTACTGCACAAATGAACCAATGGAGAAACCGCCCCTAGATATATTTTAGGGATCAGAAAGCAATATTTAATACTGTCACTATCAAAATGTAAATAATTTCACAGAAAATGGCTAATTTTTGAGATTTTAACATCAAATTCCTCGCTTGAAAGTAAGTAATTAATTCGCAAGTGTCCATAAAGTTAACCCTAGCCTCCTTCTTCTGATTTAAAACAGCATACTAAA